TAGTTTATAGTAAAAAGGTGTCAGTTTTAGTCATGTTTACATGCTGATACTTACAGCGTAAGAAAGAGAGGACGAGATAGAGACAAATGTGTATTTTATCCTTGATCCGAGCAGCAGGACATTGAGTACTTGGCAACTGTGGCCTCTCGGTTTCTCCCCTCACTGTGTTGGGGGAAAAGATGGCGGTGTAGAGTGACGGGCGGCGCACCTCTAGCCCTCGCCCCGTGCTTTCTTCGATTGTAAAACTTGACTATGGAAGAAGTGGAGGAGGAGATGGAAGGGGAGGATAATTGAACCTCCCTCCTATATAAAAACGGTATTCATGAGTGATGTAAACTTCTAAAAAGGCATTAAATCAGGGGAGAAAACAGACGAAAGGAAAGACTGAACCTTCTACAGAGAGGGCGAGTCGGTCGGTCAATCGGTGGGTTCCCGAATACTCTCTACCTCGTGTCATACTCGCATCTGTCAACAATCACCAACCCCGGGATATTTGGCCTCATCTTCCTGCCTGTCAACCACCACCAGGGCGCCACCGTCAACTTACACCTACACATAGTAAGCGCTCAGTTCATATCCCTGTATTTATTCCTTCGTACAAAAACTCTTCCCCGCTTCGTCACATTTTCTCCTCAAAGATTGATTTTTTCTCCTGGTTAGCTGAACTTAGGAAGCCAGTGTGATAGTGTAGCGTTACAGCTCAAATTATTATCATCTTCATTTTCATCGTGAATGTTGAAACTTTGAACAATATTTTCTTCTCAATGTTTAATGTTTATACAGTGATAGTTTTCTATGCGATTATATATACTGTTTAGTGTTTTATGGTATATCTCAGTGATATTGATTACTATACGGACGTCTTTATTTGTAAGTTGTAGGGTAAGATAGTTTTTGTGAGGTACGTTGACGTAGATAGAATTACTGTACCTGTACTGTAATTAGTGGAGAGATGATTATTGTAATAGTTTGTCCTTATATGTTTATTCATTTATAACAGCACACAGAAAACTTGCATTAGTTCACAACAACTTACAGAAAACTTACATTAGTTCACAACAACAACCGTACAGTTAACTAGCGCTTTGTTAAATGTATATACTGTACTAATTAGTGTAGTGAAACATTATTGATATGCCGTGCTAAATCGTAAAGGCTGTATTCTCAATAATTATTAACCATACTACTATTACTACTTCTACCTATAATAATAATAATAATAATAATAATAATAATAATAATAATAATAATAATAATAATAATACAAACCTTTTACACGTGACACCAACATCAGCTTCCCAATTATTTAGAGTGCGAGTTCTCTAACAAGATGACAGCACTTTAATCCACGAGAACCACCCGGACTGTACACACTCAGTGCTTAAGATTTATACTTGGTATTGTGATATAATGTTTATACGGTGAATTATGTGCGTATATGTTTATATGCAAGTAAATCACTGTAGGTGCGCGTGATCTAGGTATATGCTGATAACCACAAGGAAAGAAGAAAACACGAAGTTCCCAAGCGCTTTCGTGTAATTCACATCTTCAGGGGTGAGTACCTCTAGTCTGTACTCACCCCTGAAGATGTGAATTACACGAAAGCGCTTGGGAACTTCGTGTTTTCTTCTTTCCTTGTGGTTATCAGCATATGTTTATATGTTGATAAATGTTTTATTGTATATGAAAATGAAAATATTTGACGAAAATATGATGATATCAATGATAAGTGACCTCTCGGGTACGACAACTTTGATAATAATAATAATGATAATAATAATAATACAGTAATAATATATATTTAGACAGGCGTCCATATACAATACAGAAAAGTAAAAGCACATTAGATATTGCACAGACTAATGACTTATAAAATTGCATTTGTTTGGTGTGATCAATATTTTTTGTGACTATTATAATTACCCCTAAGTGAAAGTGAATAACACGTTTTGTATTTGATTAGTCTGATCATTAGTGGTATTGAGTGATGGATGAGGTGGAGGTAGGCAAAGGAGGAGTGCTGGGTTATTTTATTTCCCGCCACCAGCCAAAATATTTAAAGCCACGCCTCGTAACCGCAAACACAGTCAACGTTATTCTCGGATGGCCCAGCGTGATGTGTGGAACCTTGTGAGTGAAATATTGCTTGAGATTGTAAATAATGTTTGTATAATGTAAAAAAAAATAAATATATTCCTGATGGTGCAGTGAAGTTTATGGGGTATGTTGAGTTTGGAACTTATTTCGTTTGTTGAAATAGATCCTTTGGACATATTGTAATTATGTAAATATCTCCAGATGGCGTGGTGTAGTGTAACGAGCATTGTAAGTGAGATCGTATTACTATTTACAGAACTTTGGCGAAGATATGAGTGATCAAATAAACAAAGGGAAATAATATGAATAATGTATGTTTATGTGTAACTGTCGGTCGTTTAACTTTGCTGATATTAATTCCCGGTACTACATAATTATCGTAAGTTCAACCTATATCAGTCAACAGTAGCCACGATACAGGTCAGTCGATCATGTTTTCAGCTGAGATTAGTTATGGATTTCTCTCTCTTTCTCTCTGCGTGTAAAATAGCAAATCCAAGTTGGGATTTCGGAGTGACCAGCAGCACGCATGTAGAGACGCATTATCAAATAAGTCAAGTTCGTCTTTGATATTTTGACATTTACCTGCTAAATTCTCTTACGCGTTCTAACTTGCCCAACGACTGCAGATGAAGAAAATAATCACCTGAAGATTAGACACTCCAGCGTATTTCGCATTAATGTTAACCTAACTTGACCCCTCAGGTACCGTTAGAGTGGTTAATCTTCAAGCTAGATAAATTGAGGTGTCTGTTCTTCAGGTGATCTGACGAACATTACAAATCCGGAGTTAGAGGCCTGAAGGGTGAGGCCAGTAATAACGCATAACATAGACTAGATGAATCAAACATTCGTCTAAATTAATCAAACGTTTTTCGAGATTATCAAACGTTCTTACGATAAAATTCTCTGGTGACTGGAGACATCAGTATAAACACGCATATAAGTGTATAACTTTGAGCTGAAGAAATAATATAAAATAACATCCCAACTGCACTGACAGACTACCCGGGGTAGATGAGTTCTTTTAATTAACACCAGTAAGGGTAGAATGGGTTAACTTGCAGTACTTAACCTAACTAGATACGGTACGTTCTCGTAACACCAGTAAGGAAAGAAAGTTAACGTACAGAATCATTGTGTATCTCGACCCAGGCCAGCAGGAGTATATATAGGGGTTGGATAGAATGCCAGATTACGTAAGCTGTCAATATCGTCACGAGCGGATGTACAGTACGGTGGGGTTGTGCTATTGTTGTGGTTTGGGTCGTGACAGAGACATATTTACTGTGTGGTGTTTGTTGATGGCATACCCACTCGCAATAAGAGAGACGGAGACGACACAGTTGTAAGGTATGACCCGCAAATGTCAGCTGGGGCGAGGAAAGTGTGGGAGGCGAGCACCAAGGTGGAGGTTTAAATATAACCTCGTGAGTTAAAGATAATGGATTGATTTCGACGATAATATGCCGCCGCGGTTATAAGGGCTATCATCAGAAACTAAGTGTGGCATGGGTTACTATTATTTAGATTTGGTTGTGTGACTACGTGTCGAGGGTAAATGTCCTATAAACGAAGACAAATTTATTATTCTTGTTTAATATGTTGTCAATATATTTATAGTAAGCTGCTTTACTGTAGATGAAAGATAGTTGTCAGTGTGGTGCCGCCAGTGTGTCTGGGTCACATCCCACCAGAGTGCAACGTCCTCCGCGTCTCTCGCTTTGTTGAGATCACATTATAAGATGCCCGTGTCTGTGTCAGCCTGGTTAGGATAGCTTGTATAATACTGTGGCGCTAGACCAAATTGTGTCATCAAACAGACGGATATATCGTGAAACTCTCCCGCTCTGTTTTGTTTTGTGGACCCACTTTATTCTTCGTGCAGCAGACTGATAAATATTGCATATTGTTGCGATGCCTAATCAAGTGCGCAGGGTTGAGTGCGCGGTTGGGTCAGTTGAGCCGTGACGTCAAGAAACATGACAAATCAGATTAGTTTCACATCTCGTTTTAGTGCAAACATGATCACTCCTTTTGTGTTTGGAGCTTACGGCACATCACAGTGTGATTTGTAATTGACGTACCAGAAATGTTTTTGTTGTTTTCAAAATGACTACCATCAATGGACAAGATAAACATAAAAAATATGTTATATAAACCTCAATGAGCGTCACTAGACGTAACCTCACGCCTCTCTACACTTAACAACGTGACCCACAACACTGGTTTTGTCTTAGGAGGAAGGAAGACATTGAGCCATGGATACATACAGCTGACTACACTCCCCATGCTGACTCTCACATCACTGGCATACTTGCCCGGGTGATATATATATATATATATATATATATATATATATATATATATATATATATATATATATATATATATATACCCCCTGTATATATGCAAATAAATCACTGTAGGTGCGCGTGATCCATGTATATGCTCATAATCTCTTATTAAGAAACAAGAAAACACAGTCTGTACTCATCCCTGAAGATGTTAATTACACGAAAGCGCTTGAGAACTTCGTGTTTTCTTGTTTCCTAAGAGGTTATCAGCACACACACACACATATATATATATATATATATATATATATATATATATATATATATATATATATATATATATATATATATATATATATATATATATATATATATATATATATATATCACTGGTCAGTGTGTCAGGTAATGTACTGTAGGCCATTATTGTATTGTTAGTGGTAGTTGTATCCCTTCCTAACATAGTTTCACTTATTCATGCTAGTTTAAGGTTTAGTAATAATAATTGTGACCTTTCCTAACATAACTTCTCTCACACTGATAGTTCACTAACATAGTACCGTCTCTCTCTTTCTCTCTCTCTCTCTCTGCTCCCCACGGCAGCAGACCAGGGAGGACCCCGCCCCTCCTGACGTGTGGGTGCTCTAGCGTTCACCTGTTGCTGTGTGCCTCACCTTGCGGCACGCCCACCTCGTGACCCTTGACCTGTGTGGGTGACGTCATACTTGAGGGGAGAGTGTTGAGGGAAGGAGCAGGATGCCCTACCCACAGTGCTGCCAGGATGCTGCCTCCCGCTGACACCCGCAGCGACTGGTGCCACTACCTCGCCCCCCGGGAGGCTCTCACTTCCTCCCTCACTTGTCACCTATCATGTCTACTACTGTGTTGAGGCACGAGCGACTCCCAGCAACTTAAGTCAAGATCTTCTCAGTGTGACCTGATCCTCTGTGACCTTCAGCAGTGTTGACGACCCACAACTCTAAGTCGTCCTCTACCTTTGTGAGCGGCACGAGCGGAAGTGACTCAGCCGCTCCCCGACACCTGCTAGCAACAGCTGGTACACACCTGGTGCTGCCGCAGCCTCCATCACCCACACCCCGCCGTGCTACCTCTACACCCACCTCCCACACCCGCCGCCACACGACTCTCCTCTATATAAGTGTCATTATAACATTTCTTGTGAACAACACTGTATGTGACAGTCGCCTGTGCTTGTGCTAAGCTAAGTGTTATAGCAGCAATAATGTGTTGACGTGATTAATTCCTGAGTGTGCTGTGTTGTGCTACTGATGCTGGTGGTGCTCGTCCAGTAGACTCACACTACCTGTGTTATACTGTAATTGGGATGAAGGTGTGAGTTGGTATTTCACTAGGATACAAGGAGGTGCAATATACGGCTACTTATCTGTCACTCCCACCTTATGACTCCCTTACCTGTGACGGATTAAGTCAAGAAAACTTATCCCAGGGGAAAGAAGGTGAGATATTGGTTACTGTGAGACGTGAGGGAGACTGGCGTGATCCAGGCGAGTACTGGAGGGAGAGCTAGGAGGTGGTGGTGGCGGGCGGGGGGCGGTGAGGGTGGTGGTAAGACCGCCCATGCTCACCCCTGGCCCGGCGTCTCTCTATGTTGAGGAGCGTGGGCGTGTGTTGGCAGGGGGTGGGCCGAGGCATCTACAAAAGCGAGGGTGGTGTGGGCGGTGTGGGCGTGAGGTCGCCCTCCGTCGCCGCCATGCTCTACTACTCCGTCGACCCTCAGTTTAGCGCCCTTATCTTCTCCGTGTGTGGCCGCCATGAGCGCTTCACCCTCTTCCCCGATGCCTTTGCCTGTTACGCCCACGGACACCCGGGGGCCACCGACGTCCTGGCCTATGTCCACACCATGGGCGTCCAGCTGGCCACCTTGGGCGATCACTACGCTTGTTTCCTCACTCAAGGTAAGGTGTTTCCTCCTAGTTCCCGGGGATGTCAGGTTCCTGCTCCGTCACTACAATATTTCTGTTCTTTTAAATCATTCAGTGTTATTATAAGACTCGGAATGGATCGGAAGAACTTAAATCGCCCTGTGATAATTGTAGATTTCATTTTACCGTAACATCTGTGTTTTTTAATGGTATAATAATGTAACTTTTAGATGACTGATGCACCAGTTTACGTTAATAAACCCAAACGCAATACTATACTGTTTTTGTTATGGTTTTAATTCATTACGTGTTGTTGGTTTTTACTCTAGTTCAACTCATCAGGTAACATGCAGACGACAGATTTACCTAAGTTTTGTTTTGGTTATAAATCCATGACGTAACGGTTAGATATAGAAGGGTAATTAACACAGGTGTACCGGATGAAGGTCGTAAGGGTACAGGTGTGTGTGAGTTAAGGAAAGCAATATTGTATTTATTTTTATTGGTTGTCATCGTGTTTTTTTCTCTTTCTCTGATTCCTTCTTTATTATTAAGGTTTGTGTATCCATTCATTTATACCTCACAGTGGGAGAGAAGTAAAAAAAGATAGATAGATAGATACAATAGATAAAGATATATGCAGTAGATAGATGGATGGATGGACGGGTGTATAGAGGTCCTCACAACCTATTTTAATCATGTGTAAATAATAGTATGTCACAAGGATACATTTCTCAGCCACATTATTCAGTTGATTAAAAAAAATTATATTTCGCGTGAAGTGGAAAAAAAAAGTTTGGCTGTTCGTTATAAAAGAATTGTGTCATTAACGAGTTTAGTTTTATAGATGTGAGTAGTTTTGCTGAGAAAATATATTGTGTATTTCAAATAATATTGTGTGTGTGTCCAGTTATCAAAAGGAAAGCGGAAATATTAGTCGTAGTAGTTGTTGTAATATTGTTTATTATTATTATTATAATTATTGTTATTATTATTATTGTTGTTATTATTATTGTTATTGTTATTGTTATTGTTATTTAGTTTACTGTCATTTAGTTGTGACGTAATCCTGTAGTGGGAGTTGCCAGTTCGTCATAATCTGTGAATCACGTTTATTTGCCAGTTAATATGATAGTGTGAGTGTACATGGGGGGAGAAGATCAGTGTGTAGGAGTAGGTGGGAGCGTGGGTGTAGGTCGGGTGGGGGCATGGTTGTAGGTAGGGGCTTCTCCACGTGGGTGACGCCGGGCTGGCTACTGTGTGAGTCATACTTTATCTCATTGACTCACCGCTCTGTGTGTGTGTGTGACGGTGGGATAATTACACCTCTTTGGTCATGTATAATATCTTCTCAATTACTTGCGTTTTATCATACGTGTTAAACATCATACGTACTGTACCCGTTGGCTGTCTTCCTCTTCAACACATCTGACCATTGATACGAGTCTCACTATGTATCACCGTAAACAATTACATTAGTCACTGATAGAGGCAGTTAACATTTATGGTTGTTTTAGTTAACCGCTCATGCACTGTATCTGAAACCCCTGTTAATAGTATGCCACTGTATTGGCTTCAACGCACGAGTTTCACCTCTTCCGTGTTTCCTATTACGTTTTCTGTAGTAAAAAAAATGCAAGTTTCGTTTTCTGTGTAATGTTTTTGACCAGACAATCGAATGTTGTGTTATTTTGGGTGTGCTGACCGTAGAGTTGAATGAATTTGAGTGAACATGGTGGTGACATGACTTAGGGAGGAAGGGTCGTTGTTACGCACGGATGCCACAACACAGGTCATCACTAGGAGGAGGAGACGCGGGTCACCTGAAGATTTTATATTTCAGCTTATTTCACCTGAAGTTTAGACACCCGTAACTAGTTTCACCTGAAAGTTATACACAACGCTAAGCAAGTACTACTAACCTAATATGAGGTTTACGTAATTAAACTAACCTGAGCTCTCATAACCCAACCTAAGTTTCCCTAACTTCCCTTAACCTGGCTCAGTCAAACAATTCTACCCTAATCTAATTCCCCAGGCAGCGTTAAGATGATTAATCTTCAGTTGAAATAAGCTGGGGCGTCCAATCTTCGGGTGAAATAAGCTGGGGCGTCCAACCTTCGGGTGAAATAAGCTGGGGCGTCCAATCTTCGGGTAAAATAAGCTGGGGCGTCCAATCTTCGGGTGATATAAGCTGGGGCGTCCAATCTTCGGGTGAAATAAGCTGGGGCGTCCACTCTTCGGGTGAAATAAGCTGGGGCGCCCAATCTTTGGGTGAAACAAGCTGGGGCGTCCAGTCTTTGGGTGAAATAAGCTGGAGGGTGTCTATCGTCAGGTGATCCAGAGTATATATGTTACGTGTGTCGATAATGAACTGTGTCTTGTAAACATGGACTTCTGGGAACGGATATCAGGTGCCCTATTTTTCCCTCTCCTGCAGCGGTGTAATCAATAGCCCACGGTCCCTTCGCGTGCTTCCAGTTTATTGTTAACGCGTGTATTTTCATTTTAACATAGAGCATAGAGTTACGTGTGTGTGTGTGTGTGTGTGTGTGTCACTTGTACTGTACTGTGGTTCACGGTTTTCTTTTTTCAGATTATTTAACACCCAAATGCTAACGTAATCTATGTGACCTAATCTAATCTTACCTAACCAAATGTAATCTAACCTAACCTATTCTGATCCAACCCAACCCAACGCCCAGGTAACGTTAGACTGTTTTATTACCAGGTGAAATAAGCTTGGGTTAACTAATCTAAATAGGATCCATTTATTCCAGTATAATGTGATGTAGATGTAGGAGTTATGGGCATCTGGGTACAACAATGGCGGTGTAATTCTTAAGTTTTTTTTTTTTTTTTTTGACCCCATCACTGTTTTGTGTTTTCGTCAGGCAGGTAGGTGGAGTCTAATATATGTATACTGTACTTAATTAAGGAGAAAGCGGATGACCTGACGATTTAAGACAACCCAGCTTATTAAACTTTTTTTTTAAGGGATTAGCTCACCCGGGCACAGGTCAATGACCCACATCATGGCCTGGCGGACGAAGATATACTTCTATTACTATTACTACTACTACTACTAATAATAATAATAAATACAAATAAATAAATGAATAGTGAGAAACGTTATACAGTATATATGTTGTGTTGACAAAGTAAGAGGAACAATTGAGACCCTGCAATTGTGTGTAGATGAGGCAGAAAGTCAGATCAGTAACCTGGGACTTGGTCACTATTTTTGTAAGGTAGGTTAGGTTCGAGGTTCGATTAAGATACCTATGGGTAGATTAGGATGGGTTAGGATAGCTAGGGTTAGATTAGGTTAGATTAAGACAGGTTAGGTTAGATAGGGGTTAGGTTAGGCTCGATTAGATAGGGCCAGGATGAATTAGTCTAGGGTTGGTTAGGTCAGCGTTAGGGTGTTTAATTATCAGGTGATATAAACTGGGGTGTGTAATCTTCTTGTAACCAGATAGAACTTAACGTCGCTGGGGCCTGTGATGGTCCGGACCCCGTGTGCTCTGTACTCCGAGACCTTGAGTTATTGACCACTGTTTTGGGACCTGGTTTAGTGTGTGTTCGTGTTTTTGTTTTTGTTTTGTTTTAATTTGTAACCGTTAATTACACAAAATCACACACACACACACACACACACACGTCAATAATTCTGTCCCCTCGTATCTCACCAACTGCCTCTAAAGTTCTCATCACCTTCTAACATAAAGTATACGTGTGTACACTAACCATTCCGTAAGTGATAGTAAACTGACATATATATCACACTATGTTTATATTATATTGTTGGGGCAGGTACCGTAATGATTTATAAAGTAATCATTGTCTCAGATTAACTTCACCTGTTTGAACTGATGTGGTCTACACGCCTCCTTATCTTGCTGACAGACCAATAGTATTATTTAACTAAAGTGTGTTGTAATAACCGCTACCTGGTTTGTGTTGTTATTGTTGTAGTTTGAAGTCATGGTTTCTACAATTAAATTAAGCCTATTTTTTGTTGTTGTGCGTAGATTTAAGGTTTGATCTCTACAACAAAATTAAAGTTATTGTTCTTGTTGTAGGTATTTTAAAAAGACCAACAAAAATAAATAAAATAAAGATTTATAACAATAATATTTGTGTAGCGTGAAATACTCTTTTTTTTTTGTTGCCAGCATTTTGTTTTTTCAGATAGAATGTTGTTTTGACAGGTTGTGAATTATTAGTAATATTTCATACGACTGAAAATACGCGAGCAGAGTACTGTAGTGAGAAACAGTTATGGAAGTATTTGTATGTAGTCATTATGTGTTGTTATTATGTATTTGTTTATGTATTATGTAGTTGACGTATTTTAGTGTTTATTTATTTATTTTATCTAATGTTGAGTGTAGTAATGAGGTTATGTAGTGTAATGTGCTCTACTTATTTATTAATTGACTGCAGGTATGTTTTTAATTGTATTAGTGAGGAGGTTATGTATAGAGACGCTTTACAAGGCTTCTTCACCCACGTGTGTTCTAGTGGACGTGAACATAGCCAGGTGTGTGTGTGTGTGTGAGACCATAGCCAGGTGAACACCTACAGTACAATATAATACATAATATAACACATGTAAACATTGTGTGTATACAATGATTTCACATTACACCACACACACACACACGCCTAACACACACACACACACACACACACACACCTGTAAACATTGTGTGTGTGTACAGTGATCTGTTCATTATCACACCGCTCACACACTAATATGTAAACATGTTGGTGTGGTCACACTGGTCGACTTGTACACATCATATAGACCACGTGACAGGTGACCCCTCCCCCCCTTTACACCCGTGGCTACTGTTAAACGTGACCATAGACGAGAGTGCCATAGTGCCTCTATAAACTACCTATCAAGGAGGCACTGTACACTGGCCCTCTAACTATCATCACCACCATGTCTCCAGCTATCAGTTTGTGACAGCTGTTACACTGTCCTCAATAACATCACCAGCCATGTTGTGCAGCTGTTAGAC